ACGTTCCGACATCCGTCGCGGATTCATCATCAGAGACATGAGTAGCAGAAACCTGTTTCTTGAGAGATAGAAGTAAAGAGAGACATGACATCAACTGATACCACGTCGTCATTTCGCAGATCCCAGACTCTATGTCTGTGGTGTCTGAATTAGCGGTCAGACATTTTAGATGCCGAAACAGTCACTGCCACTTCGTAACTTAGAGTGCTTTTTAGTGATACAATAAGTCGGAGAGGAGTGTACTCGCCAATGGTCCGCTGATCGACGATATTTCTTCGGAGTTATCCACTGCAAACAAACTTGCGTTGATTTCGCATGCGAGCGTTTTTGTGGAGTCGTTTTTTTTCCTATGAAACAGAACTGACAGTCCTCCAACAAGCTTTTGGCTTTTTCCTGACAAGGACGCCAATGAAACACCCTGTTTGCTGGCATCTTAATGAGATATTTGTCAACCCTGAGTTCCCTTATTGCATCACTTTCGACCTTGGAAAGCACTTCGCGCGGCCTGTGAGCCATGCCAATTGAAGAAACGCGGCATAGAATAAGGTTTTTCGCTTCGTTCGTCGTCTGCGTCTGACTGAGAATTGACTACCCCCTGAAATCACGTTGGCAGGTTTCGCACCAACTGCGTTAAATAAGACTTTATGCAATGGCACCGGAAAGTGTTTCTTTATTAGCTCCTTTAGCAACAGATTTTGTACTAATTTGTCGTTTTCGCATGAAATTAACGACCCGAATATGGACTGACAAGCCAATTTCGCATCAATGCAAACCCTCAGCGATGAACGCGAAAGCTTTTACTTATATTGTGCATGCGGTGGCGTGGTAAATGCTTCCGATAAATAGTGCCTTCTTTGTGTCTCTACCAACCTTGTCTGCTACTGCCTCTCTGATGATGGGCTGAACGGTAGTTCGAAACGTCAGGCCAGTAAACTTCTTGTTCCAACGATCGCATTCTCTCCTGAGCTATCTCAAGCACCTTTGGATGTGGTTTCTATCCCGTTACTTGACGCTTCTGGAATGCCCCCTTTCCTGTCAGGGGGGAGGGGGAGGACTGAATACTGCACCGGAGCATTGAACTGACCGACGCAGTCAGCCCCATCCAAGACACGAGTAGTCTGTTACATATATTGCATTTTTCCTTCAACATCCGGGTAGAATCCTACTCTGCGTGCTCGACTATTGTCCCAAAACCCTATCATGGCAGAGCAGCAGAACAAAATCGGCCACGAGAACGTATATTGAAATTTGCAAGCCATTATCCACTATCAGTATATTAGAGGGAAATGTAGGTGGGTTACCTTCGAACTCCCTATTTGTACATGCGTGTTGTGATATCAGAAAGTAGAATGTCAGCTTATTGGCGAGGCGAATTGGCGGGAGCCAATGAGGTCGCACATACTTAAACAAAAACAGCACACAGTGAAAAAACTCATTGGGGATTCTTAAGGAGAAAAGAGAAACTGTCGCTATTGGGAGGAGGGTCAAACGGGGGAGGAGGCCATCGCAGAGGTCACCGGTATCATTATCAAAGTGCGGAAGATGCGGCCAGATATTCCCCTGCTGATCGCGGAGTCCGCCGACCAGGTTGCGAAAACAAAAATGTCCGCCAAGGTCGTCGAAAGTTCGCTGCGGGTCGAACCAAAGGAGCAGTGTTACCGCCTTCTGCGCTTGAGCAGACGTCGAACTGAAGACGCCCGGGGACGACTAAGGGGAACTAACCGGCCTGATAATCATTCGATTAAGAATCTCAGCTATCATCACCTTTAGCTGTGTCTAAGTACACGTGGAGTCGGGATCTTATTTGGTCGAACGTTGTCCGTATCTATTTGTCCGAATGCTTTTCGCATACTTGGATCACTGAGGTTCTGAGCAAGCACTGTTGCTACAGCCAATGGCGAGACGCCGTCGGCACGCAAGCACGCACTTGCTATCCAGTAAAATTAACCGACTCTATTTTGAGAGTGTGGAGAATTTGAACGCAAATTTCTCAAGCAGACACTGAATGCTTTGGTAGTGGCTACGGATTGCTCATTGCTCATCGAGTTGAAACTAGCTTTGAGGGAATACCGTGTTCTCTCCTACAACTAGACGGCATCACTCCCAAATAACTTAAAATAGTTCTGTTTGCAACCGATAGTGCTTGAGCACGGGCCTGAACTGCTAGAGCAATTGACTCAATGACAAACCAAACCTATGACCTAGGCCTAAACCTGTGGTTTGTTTGACTGCCAATTTTGCTCCTCATCCTCCAAATACTTATTGGTTGTAGTCTAGTTAACTACCAACCTCTACTCGCTCTATGCCGTCTTCACCCACCC